TACTCCCCTGTTTGTTGTAAACAAATTCTGTAGACGCTCTGTTATTGCCCATGTTAGGCTACTACTTGAGGCCGGAGGCCATTTTGTGTTGGATTGTAGTATGTTAAAAGCATGCTGGCAGTTGGGTTGTATATTGATGTAAATTATTGCAGGTTGTTTATTGTTGGTTTGAGCATTTTACAGGGGAGACTCTGCCAAAATTTTGGTAGAATGTCTTGGGTTTTAGTAAGTGGGCCTGGCATCAGTGAGATGTCGGCACCAAGACGGGATCCGCCTCGGGTTCGGGGGAAATTCCGGGGCGGGTCCTGTCAACCTCTAAACTCTTAATGAATATTTATGTAAACTCCTTTCTCAATCGCTTATACTAAACAGGAAACAAAACTTCATGTGTGCGCGCACACAGGCACAACTCACATTTATAACCATAACACATGAAACTAGGGTCCTTTCAAGCTTAGCTTAGTCTATTAAAGGCTATGATTCGGTCTCAGTCACTCTCTCAAATGTGAGTGAGTCCAACTATAAGATATCTAACTTTGTTTCTCAAGAATTGATTGAAATGATACAAATCACTCAATCAAAGACATCATACAATAACCAAACTCACAAATAATATTCTTTCCAATAGTACGCATAATAAGAAAACGATAACACTACTCCTAACAAGTCGAGGACAATTGATGTTGATTGGGCAAGTAGCCATGATCATACAGTCTACCTGCACTAGTGACCTTATTATCTAGATTCATTATTTTTTGAGTGATCTGAAATTGATGAACATAATAAGCTGGTCAATATGTTTATATCAAATACCGTTAAAAAATATTTTTATTAAGCCGAGCACAATACAATATTTTTAGGTTAACTTGAGGTAGAGTGTTAAAGAGAGAAATGTGACTACGTTAAAAATATCAACGCAGAAGATTCATGCAACTAAATCATGTGCTAGTAAGAAAAAATTGTGGCTAATTAAGTTGATTGAATGTTAGGGGTCTCTTGCTCTTGCTGACCTTCTTCTATTATTCTTCCTGTTACGTGTCCATGTCTACGGATGTGATGATAAGACATCATCATCATGCGGTAAAAGAGAAATGTTTTGTAGTTAGCTAGGCTTTGCCCATTCTCTTCTAAATACACTTGAGAGCTACCAAATCTTATCTCATATCAAATTAAGAAAAAATAGAAACGAAAGAAAGAGTCTAAATTGAACTGTCAAAACAAAGGTCCTACATGTGTGGCAAACTGCCATATCTCAATGGACTTTTTGTATGCACAACTTTTGATGCAGTTTAGTGTACAGACCAGCTTCTCATTCTAGGTCCGTATTTCTATCTACAAAACTCTATCTCTTTCTCTCTGTCTCCTTCCCTTTGGGTATGGAATTTTAATTTTCTTTAACCATCAGATGTTGAAGTGAAATTGAGTGAATGCTTGGTGCGGTGGGGAAAATTAAACTAACCCTAAAATAAAAGAAGGTATGGGAAGTAAATTATCAATGGGAAGATTGTATTGGTCTTTATTCGTTTCCAACTTTATTTAAAAGGTGGTGTTATTTGGACCATATTTACTGATTATATTGCTGATTGAAGAATATTAGCCCACCACTAGCAACACCGATATTGTTCCCAACTTAATCACCTACAAAGCCCAATAGGTGAGAGGTTTTATCACAAAAGACTTCGGTGGTATTAGGAGTGAAACCACTTATTATAAGTTGTAATTTATTTAGTTAAATTTTCGAAGTGGGACATTATATTATTTAACAAGTTTCAGCTGATGTGAGCTTCATCTCTAATGTTCATAGATTCTTGATTCAAGAGTGGGCAAGAACAAAACATATACATTAAACATATGCTCATAGTGATCAGCAAAGTTGGTCAATATGTTTATATCAAATACAGTTTCAAAAGCTTTTTATCAAGCTGAGCTCAATATGATATATTCACATCAACTCGATGTACGCATAACGTTAAGGAGAGATGTAGGGGTCTCCTGACCTTCTCTATTACTCTTCTTGTTACTTGTCCATGTCAAGGGATGTGATAAGATATCATGATCATAGGGTAACAGAGCAATTGTTTTGTAGTTAGCTAGGCTTTGCCCATTCTTTTCCAAATACACTCGAGAGCTACCAGATCTCATCTCAGATAAAAATAGAAACGAAAGAAAGCTTCTAAGTTGAATTGTCAAAGGTCCTACATGTTGTGTCAAACTGCCATACCTCAATGGACTTTCTGTAAACCCAACTTTTGAAGCAGTTTGGTAAAGAGACATGCTTCTCATCTCATCCTTGCTCTATATTTCTAGAGTTACAGAAGTCTATCTACTTCTCTCTCTGTGTCTCCTTCCCTTTGACTACGCATGCATGCTTGTCAATGTCATTGTCATTCAAAACAAAGATGGGTATTTTGAATACTTTTTTGGTTGGACTTAGAAATGGTCTATAATTTCGGATCAGTTTATATATGCTCGATTTCAAACTTGGGACTTTCACTTCCAACAATGCTGCTATGTCTAACATTCTTAATAAATATTATGGTCATTCCTTTTAATATGTTCTCAAATGAAAATTAAACTAATCCTAAAATAAAATGAGATATGGGAAGTAAATTATCAGTAGGGAGATTGTATCGGTCTTCATTCGTTTCCAACTTTAATCAAATCTCCAATTCTCCTTAATTTGTGTAGGGGTGTTGTGGCTATTTTGCGCCCATTTTTTTAAATCATGGAGACTCAAATTAATGAAAATGAACACAAAATAACCGTAATATCCCTGCACAATATGCACACGTGGATGATCTGATAAGAAATTGACTGGAATAAGAGATTTAACGAGATTCCTAATTAATGTAAATATCAAGAATATTCTGTTAACAATTAAAACCACAATATACTACTTTGACATATAGGATAAACAACATGTATCCTTCCTAATTTAAGGAGAAAAGAATGTATAAATTAATAATTCAAACCTTATTTATTTGATTAAAGAGTCAAAATTGTCAATCAACACAATACTCCCTCGCATCTTTTGATTTCAATTTCATTCATTCATCCTCTAACTATACTCCTATGATTATGCTTCGTTAAACCCACAACTTTTCCCATTAAGAAAGCACTATATAGTTGCTCATTATAGAATCAATTTTCATAAATTCCTAAGAAGTAAATGTAAGATTATATTATTTTTATGAGGCCCTATAATATGAAGAAAAAAGAATTAAAAAAGAAGAAGAAGAAGAAATAAAACATAAGAAAGATGCACAAAGGATGCGACAATTTAGCATGTGGTAATAGAGCTAGACCTAGACTCCTGAATGAAAGAGCATGTGATATGTTGTACACGTGCATATGTGTGGGTTTGATCTTCTTCTATATAATATTATATGCTCTGCCTCTCTGCACAACTTACGAAGAGAACAAACAGTAATGGAAGAACAGATTCACTTAAGCACCTAAAAAAGAAAACAAAACCCAAAAAAGGAAACATAATCTCTCTCTCTCTCTCTTTTTCATTTTGCTTCTATTGTCATTATTATTGCTTGTAATTTTTAAAAATGGTCTGACTCTGCATTCTTGGTTCTCACACATTCTCTGATTCTGTGGGGGAAATTCAACTCAAGGCCTTCTTCTTCTTCTTCTCATTTCTGCTTCCTCTCTCTCTCTCTCTCTCTGAAATAAAAAATGGGTGATCATTCTTTGTCCACTGCTGCCTTTGACAGAGCAGTACAACAGGTTTCATCTTGCTATCCTTGTTTCCATTTTTTCTTTTCTCATCACCAAAAGGTTCTTTTGGTTTAACATTTCAATTTCTCTACTTCTTTTACATATTCTTTTCTTTTGAATGATGCAATGTGGTTGAAGTATATTTGTCTCTTGTTTCTTTATTGAGTATTTTTGTGGTGCAATTTACTTTTTTGTAGAGTTTCTGAACCTTAAATCAGTGGAGATATGTGTATCAGTGAGCTGGGTTGGAAATTCTTGTTTTTTTTGTTTTTTGTTTTTGTTTATTATTTATTTTTGTGTGGATCATTTGGGGATTGCTTTTGCTTAGGTGCTAACTCTGAAGTCTTCCAATCTTAGTATGGTGTTTATAAAGAATATATATATATTTTTTCATCCTTCAGAAAGAATCATATTTTAATTGTATTTCTTTAAGTTATAAATTACTTTGATATAAAGATATATTGTGGGATTTCAAAAAGTTTGCCAGTTGATATGAATCAATGCAACCAACAGCTGCGGAATGGGGAACCATTTGTTTCTTGGCATACCATTATTTTTCAAGGTTGTAATCACATGTATATTGTTAAGTATCTAAGATGGTAATGGAGGTCCTGAAATGATATGCAACTTTATTTCTGGTCAGAGAATAATCCTTAACACATCCATTTTGTTCTGCTTCTAAGATATTTTTGGATCTTTGTTTATCATGTGATTCCTCATTCTTTATTAGATTATCTAAGTTGATTACTAAAACTTTGAGATATACCCTTAATCCAATCATGATCAATAGGGAGACGTCTTTAACTACATAGAATCTAAAGTTTCTTTGATGAGTCCCGCAAAAATACTGCAATTTTTATGTAATCAGTTGAACACAAAATAGAGTAAAGTTTTTGATATCTTGCAATCGTATGCTGTTGGTAGACAAAGTACTGCTTCTAATATTAATTTGCACTGAATGTTGCTTGCTTTATCTCCTGTAAAAATTTTGTTTGTAATTTTGGACAGGCAATTGTCTCTATGAAGAAGGGTGCATATCTACTGAAATATGGACAGAGAGGAAAGCCCAAGTTCTGCCCTTTTCGGCTTTCCACGGTATGGTTTTGTACTGTAGCATTCTTCTCTTTAACCAATATGCGCTTGCAGATTTCGTGGTTTCCACTATGGACAATCTTGATGTATTTCTAGATCAATGTTTCTGAACTCTGATTAAGCTTTCTGCTCGAAGTACATTTTTCAGAACACAACTTAAGTGTACTATTACCATTATCTTTTGGTTGCTAACAAGGGTATCCTCACCACAGATGAGAGTAGGTCCCCAGTCATACCCCAGCTAGTACGTTGAATGAACCACTGAAAAATCCCATGGGGCTGGCTCTCATTGGTTTAATTAAGATTTGAGACCTCCAGTTCCTAAGCCATGCTATGGAACAACTTATTTTATAAACCTTTTCAACCCCTTGTAATTTTTCCTTGGCCAAATGCAAAAACTTTGGAATTAGCATAACTTTTGTTTCTTTCTTTACATAATAATATATAGCCAAATTTCAATTATTTTATTTTATTTATTTATTTATTATTTATAATTATTAATTTTTCTGGATGTCAGGATGAGAAATTTTTGATATGGTACTCCGGAAAGGAAGAAAGGCAATTGAAATTGAGCTCAGTCACAAAGATTATTCCTGGACAGAGGAGTGTATGTAATTCAGATTGATGTCAGATTTGGACTTGTGCTATTTAAGCTCAGTCATATTGTTTAGAAAAATGCTTCTTTCCTTCATGTGATAGGTGGTTCCACTTATCACAGGTTAGTTTTCGGAGGCAACTTGAACCAGAAAGGGAGTGTCAGTCATTTTCACTTGTCTATGCACAAGGTGAACGCTCACTTGATCTGGTAATCTTATTAACTATAACATCACAACTGACTTCTCAATTTGAGTGGTGTTTCCCCATTGAGTTTAGGTGGTAGTTCTGCTGCTCATTGTTTCTCACTAAATTATTTTCATTGTTCATTTTATAGATATGCAAGGACGAAGCCCAATGTGAATATTGGATTTTAGGGTTGAGAGCTTTAATATCCCGGTGTTGCCATCCTAGACCACTTAGCAGTTTGAGGAGTTTCAGACAGGTACAAAGTTGTTTAAATAGTCCAGCAGGTCCTCTTAGAAGAAAGCAAAATCTTGGAGTTATGGATGATGCAACCGAATTTTCCCAGGTTTTAAAACCTTACCTTTTTTTTTTGTTCCTGGTTTCTCCAACTATTGTTTATAATTGTTAAGTTATTCAGAAAGCTTCCAAAGGTATTAGAGGTGGTAATGGCAAATCTGCAGGTAGTTCCGACAGTAAAATAATAAAAACTGAAAGTAACTTAACTAACTATTTTGTGGATTGGGTTGAAGCAGTTCAGTAAGTAAGCCCAGACCTCAATTTGTGACTAAAAAGTGCACCTGTTCGTGAAACATCAAATTGGATTTGCACTTGGGTTCACTTTAAGACAAAATGGATTCTTGTATTGTAATGAGAGTTCGTCACAGTATACTTGATTTAAGGATTAGCTTGTTTTACAAGCAAAAACTGGATTGCTTAGATGAAAAAGAATAGTTTGGAATTATTGTTTTCTGATGGTGTTTAATTTGGTTTTTGGAGATCATGTTATTACATAAAATCTCTACATCCAAAAATAATTTATTATAATTTATCAGGGTATCGGAGGGGGTTTTGTCTTCAAATCCTGTCGTTGGTCCTTTCCTTCATAGAACATTCTTCCCTTGGCTTAACTGATGTTTGTTGTCATAACTGGATTTTAACCATCTCATATCAATATTTCATTTTTGGTCTTTATTTAGTTAAAACCATGTTCAGAGATGCTCTTGTACCCATCTTTGCATTTTTTTTGAAGGTCCGAAGCGTATGTGCAAGTCCTACTCTATCACTTTCAGAGAGGTGTTTTTCTGATGGCTTATCTTATTCTTCTGATAGCTTTTATTCATCGGAAAGAGTCCTATCAAGTATGCAAAATGTAACGGATATCTCAGTTCCTGATTCTCCACATATTGAATCAGATCATCTCAAGAGGAGGCGAATTTATTCTGATGCTGGCTATGAGCCTCATAGGTTTGTTTCCTATGCTTTTGGAACTTCAAGAATTGAAAAGGACAATATTTTGAAAGATGTCATGATCTGGGGTGAAAGTATTGGAGGGAATTTAGATTCTGCGGTCAATAGGATTACTAACAACAGTGGATTGCATGTAGATGCTGTATTGCCTAAGTTATTAGAATCTACTATGATGTTGGATGTACATAATATATCTTTAGGAGGGAAGCATGCTGCTATAGTTACCAAGCAAGGGGAAGTATTCTGCTGGGGTCAGGCTGATGGGGGAAGACTAGGGAACAAAATCAATATGGATGTGAGCTACCCTAAACTAGTTGACTCCCTTAATGGGATACAGGTGAAATCTGTCTCGTGTGGTGAATATCAAACATGTGCTCTGACACATTCTGGTAAGCTATATACATGGGGAGACACAAGTTGTGGTGACAGTTTAGCGGGCAAGGAGAAGACTAGGAGTCAGTGGTTACCGCAGAAACTTTCTGGTTCTTTAAATAGCATAAATATATCAAATGTTACTTGTGGGGAATGGCATACAGCTATAGTGTCCACCTCAGGGCAGTTATTTACATATGGAGATGGAACTTTTGGGGTTCTGGGGCATGGAAATCTTGATAGTGTTTCTCAACCAAAGGAAGTTGAATCTCTCAAGGGTTTATGGGTAAAATCTGTTTCATGTGGATCATGGCACACGGCTGCTGTAGTCGAAATCATGGTCGATCGTCTCAGGTTGAATTCCATAGGTGGGAAGTTGTTTACATGGGGTGATGCAGATAAAGGAAGGCTTGGACATGTGGATAATGAGAGGAAGCTTTTACCAACATTTGTTGCTCGGCTTGTGGATCATGATTTTGTTCAAGTTTGTTGTGGAAGAATGTTGACCGTTGGGCTTACAAATAAAGGTACAGTTTATACAATGGGAAGTGCAGTACATGGGCAGTTAGGGAATCCACAGGCCAAGCATAAATCAATCACAGTTGTTGAAGGGAAGCTTAAAGAAGAGTTCATTAGGGAAATAGCATCAGGTTCATATCATGTTGCTGTTTTGACTGCTAGAGGAAGTGTTTATACCTGGGGAAAGGGGGCAAATGGACAGTTAGGATTAGGTGATGTTGACGATCGCAACACACCCACTTTTGTGGAGGCGTTGAGACACAGGCAGGTAGAAAGTATAGTTTGTGGATCAGATTCCACGGCGGCAGTCTGCTTACACAAATCTATTTCTGTCAATGACCAGTCAACTTGTTATGGATGTAACCTGCCTTTTGGGTTTATTAGGAAGAAGCATAACTGTTATAATTGTGGTCTTCTATTCTGCCATGCATGTAGCAGTAAGAAGGCTATGGATGCTTCTCTGGCACCCAAGAAAGGCAAGGCTTTTCGAGTCTGTGATCCATGCTTTAACAATCTGCAGAAAATAACACATTCATGTAGATCATTCAAGCAAGAAAATCATAGTACAAAACAGCTATCGACAGAAGAAAAGGCAGTCCCAGATAGGAAGGAAGAAAAGGCTGGAGCAACGCCCAAATATAGTCACTTGTTGTCTATTAAACAGGCTTGTAACAAGGAAAACAAGTCTGGAATGAGGAACGCCATGAAGAACCATGGAGGAGACCAGCAGCATCTAGAACCTGTTTCTTCTTTTTCAAGCGAAGTGCCACGATGGGGCCAAGTCCCATGCCCTGATCTATTTAAACCATACTGCAGAGAAAATTCTACAGCAGTTGACTCTTTGTCCAAAAATAATTCATCTTCTGTGCTCTCAGTGCATTCAGATTCTGCTCTTTTCAGCTCCACTAATGCAGAGAAATGCATATCCATGTCGGATGAGATGCTAATTGAAGAAATTCGGCGGCTGAGAACTGAGGTGATTCCATCTTTTTAATTTTCAACACTAGACAGATGCAAATATGATATATATGCTTCCATTGAGGGATCCCTCAAATTAGCTTATTTGAGGGACACTCTTGTAGGAATCACTCCGCATTGTATTTCATTAATCCAAACCGTCTATGTTTTAGATAATCATTCAAAGATCATCTCTACAAAAAATCACTTGAATCCGATATCGTTTGACCACTCAATTTTGTTATTGGAATTTTAGTACTTTCTTGAAGCATCGTGTTCATTGATTTTGTAGGACACAATTGGATGTCGAAATGGTTTCCGATTTGTCTAATTTTTTGCAAGGATGATCTATGAATGTATACTTAAAAAATAGATGGTTTGGATACAAATATGTACAAATATGCTATTGTGTACCCTAAACCCTACCCTCTAGTTGTGTACAAATATGTTCATATACTATTTTGGATATGTTTTTCACCATACTCATATTAGGCAATAAGCCTCCAACGGAAATGTCAAATTGGAAGCCACAAGATTCATGAATGTCAACAGAAAATGGAGGAAACATGGTCCTTTGCAAGGGAGGAAGTGGCTACGTGCAAGGCAGCGCACGAGATTATAAAAGCTTTGGCGTTAAGGGTAATTTCTTGTTGTTTCTCCTAAAAAATAATTGGTTATATAAAAGGCTGCAATTTTTTTACTCCATGAATTTTCATTTTAATTTTGAAGGAAGTCCATGTCTTCTTTTGATCGCTTAAGTTTCATTTTTGTTCCATCTGTTACAATGTCATATACTTCTCAATGCCATGAAACTCGTAGCTTGAAAAGCTTATAATTTGGTTGTCATCCTGTTTCTATAAGAAATAATTAATTTTCCCTGGAATTCAAAGCCCCAAATCTGTCTTTGAGTCATGGCAAAACACCAATGCAGTTACTTATCAATATGATATTGGGTAATGTAAGACCATGACCATAATTGTCCACATCCCAACTCAAATTCTTATGTGGACTCTATCATTTGATATCAATCATATCTCAACTTCGTTGATTGTGTGTACTACTTCAAGTGTAGCTGTTTGTGCAGTCTCATAATCATACTTAAGTTTAATAACTTTTTAAGGCCTCTTTCCTCTCTTTTTTCTGATCTTTATTAGTAGAGTGTTCCCAAAATGTTTATCATCTTGCAATGTGAGATGAACTATTAACTTTCCTTCTATTAATACTTTAGATAACTTTGAAAAGCTAGACATTTGCAGGATGTTTTTCTGGTACATAAACAATGAGAGTTGCTTCAAGTAACTTTAAGCATAAACTTGTCTTAAATACAGCTGTTGAGAATCTTATATTGTGTGTCTCTCTCTTCTCTTTCGGCCTTCTAGTCACTGGACAGGGAAACTTAATTCAAATTATTTGAAAATACATCCAAGCCTTCTGCAAGGGGACATTTGATGAAATTCTAGCCATCAAAAAAATTTCTGGGACAAATTTTATGATGTCAAGTTCTTGAATCATGAGTTTCTATTTGTGCAATCTTGTTTTACAGGACAGATAAATGTACTTCTATATTTCAGTCTGTGATCGTGGTATATCAGTTTTGGTGCAATGCAGTTAGTAAAGTCGATAACTTACACAAATTATTTGCTGCAGCTTAATACTATGTCAGAGAAGGTGTCTGCTGGAAGGGAAACAAATGATGTGGTTGCTAAATTTGTTCCTCAACTCACGCCATTGAATACCGATACATCAAGTCATCATTTACTTCCTCAAGTAGATAGCATACCTGATACTCCTATTGGGTTCTCTGATACACCGAAGTCCTTGTACAAGAGAGATACTTGTCTAAAGAAAGGCCGGCCAGAGGAGGATTTACATCCTGCAAAAACAGAATCCCAGCAAAGAGAAACTAAAGCAGTGAAGCTTGAATGGGTAGAACAATATGAACCTGGAGTGTATATCACGCTTGTTGTTTTGCCAAGTGGACAGAAGGGGCTAAAGCGAGTGAGATTTAGGTATTTTCTATCTGAATCATTCCATGTTTGTTTAGCTATACTTGTGCATGAATGATGTCTTCTGTGAGAGGGAACAGAAGCTAAAAAGTATAAGGTTCCGAATCTTTAACACAAGTTTATGTTTAAGATAGTCAACGGTTTAATTTGCTTTCAAGTCTTTCTCATCCTCTAGAATATTAACTGGTATTCATCTTCTCTGTACTTTTTAAAAATAAAATAAAATAATTCCTAGGTGTCTGTCAGTTACCTTATTATATATGAAGATCATATCTTTATGTTAGCATGGAATCAATTTTAACTGAATCACAGTTGCTACTTGGGGTTGTGTTTTGCAGCCGAAAAAAGTTCGCTGACAAAGATGCAGAAAGATGGTGGGAGGCAAATCAAGGTTTGGTATACCAGAAGTATGACATTGAAGAGGGATATGAGAACTCAAAAGAAATTTAATTTGAAGGGCTGGTTTTTAGTTGCCCTTTATATTTGGACTTGTATAGCTCAACAGCCAGCTGATAGGTGAGATTTTTAAGTAGATTGTGACATGCGCAGTGAAGAAATTTCTTGTATGGTTAGCATTGGGTGTAATTTTATTTGTTTGATGAAACAGCAGAAAACTACAAGGATCCCTGACATTCCAATACTCCGAAATCTCAACTGCCACAGTAGACGGAAAATTAGAAAACCAAACATATGGTTGAGTGTAGTTATGTCCTAATATGGGTTGCAATTCATATGAAGTGTAAATTTCATAAATAGTAAGCCCGTCTCTCTCTCTCTCTCTCTCCCTCTCTCAAGATGTCAGATGGCCGGCTTTGCCGATGCTACATACTCCAAGACAAAGCCTTTGTGCAAGCATAGTAAGCTCCAAAGTGACAGACACACAACGCTACTTGACATATATTAAATTATGAAACTAACAAGAGCCTAGCCTCTCTTCGAAGGGCAAAACAAGAACAACACATAGGTCTTACGAACATCGAAAACGTCATCTCCAAACAATACACATTCCTATAAATTTCCACATCTACCTCATTTTGATAACACAATCTAAAGAGAACAATCATATAGAAGAGATAGAAGCACTCATAGCAAAGATGTCTGATGTTATTCTTTTGGACTGTTGGGCGAGTCCCTTCTGCATGAGGGTGAAGATTGCCCTGGAGGAAAAGGGCATCAAGTATGAAAACAGAGCTGAGAATCTCTTTGGAGGCAAGAGTGAACTGCTGCTCACGTCGAACCCGATTTACGCGAAGGTGCCGGTGCTGCTTCACAATGGAAAACCATTGTGTGAGTCGAGCATCATCGTTGGCTACATTGATGAGACCTGGGCTTCACCACCACTACTCCCATCTTGCCCTTATGGTCGGGCTCAAGCCAAGTTCTGGGTTGACTTCATTGACAAAAAGGTTGGTTTTCTTATATTTTTTATGGTCAGCAATCTTAGATTTCGATGTTGCATTTCCCACTCCAACTCATAGGACATTATTTTCCTTTTGGTGCTTTATGAGTTTTCTTTTTTTGTGCTCTTTGAGTTTAAGAACACAAATATTTGTGTTTACTGTCAATAGCCATGGTGCACCCACATATTATTTGGTGAACAAATTTGATGGCTCTATATATAATACAGTATGCGCACATGTCTAACTTCATGATATTCTTGTACACATGAAGTTGTTCGATGCGGGCGGCAACATATGGAAAACCAAAGGAGAAGCACAAGCGGTGGCTGTAAAAGACTTCATAGAGATCTTAAAGCAGCTGGAGGGTGGTCTGGGAGACAAGGATTACTTCGGTGGCGATAGCTTTGGTTTTGTGGACATCATAGCGATTGCTATAACCAGCTGGTTTAATGCATTCGAAAGGTTTGGCAACTTCAAGGTTGAAGACCACACCCCAAAGTTTTCAGCTTGGATTAAGAGGTGCTTGCAGAGAGAGACAATAGCCAAAATCATTCCAGACCCAGAAAAGGTGTATGAATTTGTCCTCCTTCTAAAAAAGATGAACGGTATTGAATAGAGATCGAAATCGGCCAACTTGTTTGATGGATCAAAACTAGTACTTTGCGTACATGGGGTCTCTTTCTCTTGCAGTATACTTTTTTATGTTTATGGTCTTGGGTAGGCCTTCCTTGTCTCTCCCATATATGGGAAGAAAAATAAGTACCAATAATCATTTTCCTGGATCATCTCCAATTGCTCTAATGTACTCGGATTGAGTTCATAATATAGGAAAATGAGTCTTCTTAGGGGGCAGTCTTTTGACAACTTTGTTTTCATAAATAAATTGAACTTTTTGACTGTTGATCATATTGTAATTTTTCTTCTCTCTCTATCTAATGTTCAATATTGCAGTTTTTTTGTCTTTTTTGGTGTCTATCTCTCTCTAATGTTTAACTTTGTTTCCGGCTAAATAAAAAGGTTAATTAATATTAATTACTTCATTGCAAGTGAAGTGCTTCATCTGTTTTCATGCATTCCAAAACTTCCTTTGGTAATGCTACGTATACCAAATTTGCATAGCATCTTTGAGTTCCAAATGATATCTCCGTCCATACTTCAATGGAGGTTTTGGCCTAATCGCACATATATGAAAAGCTTAAATCCTTATAATTTGGTTGTTGTCATCTTCTTTTTAGTATAAATTATAGTCTAAACTAAAGGGAAGAGAGATTTATCACATGCATACATAACTAAGATGCAATGAAATTCGAACCTGAGACCTCTTATCAGCAAGTGAAGGTCGTTTTCCACTCGGCTAGAAGAAACATATCTTTTATTTCCTGTCTTTGAGATTAGACATAAATGCAGTTACGTTATAGCCGCTCCCGTTTCGGTGCCTTCACAAGTTCACAAGTCTTCGCTTATGATATCCTCAAGCTCTCATAGTGTGGGTTGGTTGGGCCTATAGATCTCTAAGCAACCATAAGCTGGCCTGGACCCTTTTAATTGTTGGATTTCCCTTTGCATCTAAGGAATATTTGGTCCGTTCATGCCAATATGCTGGAGTTTGAACAAATTTTAAATGTCAATCATCCAAGTTTTTTTTATAATACAAATGATAATCTAAATTAATCTAATTTACATAGAGGGGATTCGAAGTTTATCCAACAGTTAATTAGTAAGAAATTTATGGTATGAGCGACAAGTGATCAAGTGATTAATGGTATAAAAGTCACTTTAAAAAAAAAAAAATTTATTGGGATTGGGGATCTGAACTTGAGTTGTCACCCTGGCACCAGTTCTACACTATATGGTGGCACCAGTTATAAGTACTGTATGGTTGTCATTAGCAAGTCTATGGATATAAATTAGTGTTTTCTCCGGTTCTTCAAAATCATGTACTGTGTCTTGAATTTGTAATGAATCATATTGAGGGAGAGAGTAAAGGTGAAGAACTCGGCACCGTGTGCTATTGGCTAAAGGTTCTTCGATACTTAAGTTCACTTCAAGATAGAATACGGAAGTATTTTGACATAGTAAGGACACAAGTGTCAAATTACTGTTACCTAATGCATGGGGACGAGAGCCCTATTTATAGAAGAGAAATGGAGAGCACCTTGGGTTATCATTTTCTCGGCAAGCCATCCTACCGGTCTGGTTCAAGGACACATGGCAGCTCTCGGGTGACGCCAACAGTCCCACATTGAGCCAGTCCCCTTGACGATGCCCGATATGGGTCTCAATGGATGGGCTGGATCAGGAGGCCTTCGGTTAGGGTATTGTTTCCCGTGTATTACCCTTGCCGAAGAGGCTCAGTCAGATAATGATATAAGCAATTCTATACACCATGAAGAGTTACAGGCTCATACTGAAAAAGTTGAGATTAAAACCATCTTTCATGGTATAGAATATGAAGATAAATTAAGTTTGAGAAAAAACTAGAGGTAGTTGATGAATAAAAAAGAATTGAAAAGACGGAATTTTTTTTAAAGTTCTTGAAAACGTTATTCAATATGAGCTTGTAACTTTTGACTTTGCAGTCAAAATCCTTTTTGTGGAAATTAATATATTGGGCATGGATCGATACATTATGTAAGGTATTGAATCATCCTCTTCTATATCGTCATATCTCATATGGGTTGCCACATTAATCAACTTCCATCCATCTCCGTCCCAAACGACACTTGTTGTAAGTCGTGGAGTTCTACTCCATGAACACCACCATACACAATTGGGCTTTGATATCAAATTGATAGGTGATGGGATCAAATCCATCGATGCCAAGTTTTCTCATATTCTTATAAATTTAGCATAAACTGCGTATCAATTACAAGGCTACGCTTATATAACATGATAGCCCTTTTTAGGGAGAAATAATCTAAGAACTTACTTGAATATTTGGTTACCTTTTTAGAGAGAAATTTTTTTATGTTCCGGATACACTAGCTTGTCATCCAATATACATAGGACATGTGGTTTGGACCCTCCAACTTACTACACTGCTTTTTAAAATAAAAATAAAATATTTCCACATATCCTATGTATATTGGATGATACATTAGCCAACTAGTATACCTGTAACATACAAAAATTACTATTTTTAGGAGCTTAATGGCTTGATTAATTCCTGGTATGGTCTGAGTTATAAAAAAAAAAAAAGAAAGTAAAAAAGTAAAAACTGTTAGTTGGATAGCTTATACCAATGACTAGAAAAGACAAAAGGAAGATACTAATTAATCATCTAATCGGGTATTAGAAAAGGAAAAAGAAACTAAGGAAGGAATGTGGGGACGGGCGGATGAGCATGTGAAAAGGACATTCTTGAGTTAGAACGCCGCCGAAATTCGTTTCCGCCATTTCTCGTTAAGAAATATACTTGTTTCCACAAAAGGCCGGTAATGCCTCCAATAAGATACCACCACGTGGAGCAGAGGTTCCAAGAAAGGACAAGAACGAAGCATGGGATCATTTGAGAGAGAGAGAGAGAGAGAGAGAGATTAAGCAGCTTCCAAAGAACGATAGGAAGAATCATGATCATGTTGATTGGTTGAGGAAAAACAAATGTGTAAAGTTAAAGTTGGGGAAATATCAGGTGGGGTGGGGGTGGCAGCCTCCCCATCTTTATTTTGCTTTTTCATTGCCTTTTTGTTCTCTTATTAACAAAACCCCAAGCAACCCCCCAACATTCCACCTCTCTCTTTCTCTCTCTCAACTTCCACACACTCCTTCCTCCTTCTCCCTCTCGATTCCCAGCTTTGGATCTTCATCTTCTTCCTCTTCCTAGCTAGCTAAGGTTTGTTTGTGTGTGCATAAGCATACACGTACGTACATACGTGCGATATATCACGTATGTATATAGATACGCATGGTGTATTTATTTAATATTGTAACATTCTAATAGGGTTTTGTGGTTAATTGGTTTTTACAGGGTGTTGTGGTGCAATTCTTGATTGTTTTGTTGACGAGCGTTGTCATCCTAGCTTGCTAGCCATAATATTTGTGCCCTTTTAGGACAATTAAGAAGAAGAAGAAGGTCCATATATTATGGCTCCAGTTTCATTGCCTCCTGGTTTTAGGTTTCATCCCACAGACGAAGAACTGGTTGCTTACTACCTCAAAAGAAAGATTAATGGCCGTAAGATTGAATTAGAGGTCATCCCTGAAGTTGATCTCTACAAGTGTGAGCCATGGGACTTACCAGGTACTTCTTTTTCTTAATTCCATTCTTCTACTCTTGCTGCTACTGCTGCTGCTGCTGCTTCTTCATCTTCTTTCCTTTTTTTACATTGTTTTACCACCATTTTTCTTTTCAATTGTTATTCTTTTTCTTTCCGGTCCTTTTGAGAATACTTGAATTAATGCTTTAGGCTCGATTTCTGGAATGTGAGAAATGATTAATTTAGGAGAAATACACACCACCTTAATTAGAGTCTTTAAAAATTGTTTGCTTCTCCTAAAATACTCTGATCCTTACTTCAATCGAATGTTTTGCATCCGATCGGTGCTCATTTCATACGCCAACAGTTTTTAGATTGATTTGGATTAAGAAAATGAAGAAGAAGAAGAAGAAGAAGAAGAAGAAGACTCTGTAATCGAATTATTAAGCAAGACCAAAGCCTGATTTATAAGATGAATTTGATACATCTATAAAGAATACCTTTTCCTAAATATGATCACACAAATAACCTAGGCACGCTTATCCTTCTTTTTGCTCAACTATGCTCTTATTGGGAAGTACTTAACCACGAATTAAGCACTTTCTTTACTTCTTAGTCAAATATGCTGAGCTTTTTAACAATTAAATATCCAGTAGGGCTTTTAATAAGTCTAATTTATAGAGCAAAAAGTGCTTGAGACACCGACATATGGTCCCTCCATCTTTAGGGTTCCTGTTGTGAACACCAAGTTTTATATATCTTAGTGAGACAACATTATGGGAGACAAGTCAAAAAGGTATAGGCTAGCATATGGAAAAAGAAAAGGATTGCTTTGTGTTTGCGAGAGGTATGAGTTCCGAGCAATGCTTTCCGTGCACTTCTTCCTTCATACCCTTTTAAATTCTTTTGCTGCATTTTTGGAGCTTAAACTTGTGAGTGACGTAATCCCAAAAGAGATTCTGGTTTATAATAAGGACCCTAAAAAGAACAATCATGCAGTCTTTTTTTTTTTTTCTTTGTCAGAACAATCATACAGTCTTAGTACTATTTTATAAAGCTTTCACATTATTATTAAAATATATATTGTAAAACCATGCAATATCGGATTTAAATTCAATAATCTAGATGATAAATGGAGTCAAAAAAGGTAAACAAATTATTTTACGCGGTTGGTGTGGTACCTTATTATTTTGGTTGTAACTTTTTTCATGAGTGATGCTGAAAGATCACACCTCCAAATAATTGTATCGTGTGATTAGCTAATATGATTAGAAAATGTGGTTTCCCAAATATTTTATATGTATCTCAATTAGACTTACTCATGCAAGTGCTACGGCCTTCTTTTCATTGTAACTAGGTTAATCAAATTGTAATTATTAATACAGGAAAGTCATTATTACCCAGTAAAGATCTGGAGTGGTATTTCTTCAGTCCTCGAGATCGAAAATACCCTAATGGATCCAGGACCAATCGTGCAACTAAAGCTGGATATTGGAAGGCCACCGGAAAGGACCGCAAAGTAAACTCACAGACGCGCGCAGTAGGCATGAAAAAAACCCTAGTTTATTACCGGGGGCGGGCACCCCATGGGATTCGAACCGACTGGGTTATGCATGAGTATCGCCTTGACGAGAGAGAGTGTGAAACTGCACAAGGCTTGCAGGTTCAGGTTCTTTTCTAATTTTCTTTGTCAAAATATCCACGGTTCATTTCAATTAATTTTCGTTATAAAATATAATTCCTACAAATTGCTAATTGATTCATCTTTTTGAAACGTACATATGTAATGGGCAGGACGCATATGCGCTGTGTCGTATTTTTAAGAAGAGTGCAACGGGGCCAAAGATAGGAGAGCATTATGGAAGCACAAGTACTACCAATTACCAACTTACCAGTGATCACTCATCAAGCGTTGAACTGTATTCTGACGGTGGAAGATGTGAAGATTTCGAAAGCTCCAGTTATCCGATGCAAATGAACGCATGCTCTTCTTCACCAAACTTTGTCCATACATCCTCACTTGACATGGCTAGAAAAAGAGATGGAAAATGGACACAGTTTTTATCTAAAGATGCATTTAATTGCTCATCCTCGTTTTCTTCATTTCCCAATCATGGAAATGTTCCATACCCACCATCTAAGGTATTACTAATTAACTAAGAATCGTAACGTACATGTATAATAAATAATTTAGATTGAGAGTCCAACAACATAATATGTATGTACGCTAGACTTTCCGGGAAACGAATATTTCCCTAAAAAGGTTATAGCCTTTAACAACATTTCCTTGTTTGCAGGTTGATATAGCATTGGAGTGTGCAAGGCTGCAGCATAGGCTCTCACTTCCTCCATTAGAAGTGGAGGATTTCCCTCGAGTTGGACTCAACGACTTCAAGACGATGCAATATTCAAATCCTGCAGTTGAACCCACAAGTACTGAGACTGATGCACTGCAGGAAATTCTCTCAGTTGCACATGTTTCTCAAGAAATGATCAATCAGTCCAGTAATCTTGCTGATCAGACATGGGGTGGAAACTATGCTGCTCCGGCCAATGACTTTAGCTTTATTGTTGACAGAGATGCTCATTATAATCAGATTACTGATCACATGAATTCCATGAGATATGTGGAAAAATCATGGGAAAATCCATATACAAGGTCAATCGAGATTGGAGATCTGGAGGATGATTTTAGGATGGAGAATACAGCTGAGAATCTAAGATGGGTAGGAATATCAGACAAATATCTGGAGAAGGTACCTTTACAATTTAACTTATCAACTTCCAATTCATCATACTTGGCTTGTATAAAAAATAAAACCAGCTCATTGAAAACGCAATTTTACTAAAAGTCATGATCTCTGGGTGACCTTAGGTGTCAAACATTTAGATACAACATTAAAAGGTGAGGTAGAATTTTTTGTTCATATGCATGTTATTTCTTGATACTGATATACGTTTTCCTTTTTTTCAATATTCGATAGAGTTTCATGGAAGAAAACAAGGTAGTTCCATTAGAAAACATTTCGAGTTTTCAAAGGGAAGAGCAAGAGCATGAGGTTCAAGGTACATATGAGAGCATTAAGTCTTACATATTTTTCTTTTCCACATTAGTGGTCAATGAGTTTTAGCTCAATTATCATGAGATGAGTGAGGTGATGGTAGAGATCTTAGGTTATTTAGTTACGTACATTTGTTTCTAGTTGCAGGAGAAATTGGGGATCAAAGTGGCATGATTAAGGAATTCAACGATAGCGAGACGAACGATGATTTCTCACTTGGATTCATCAATGAAGACCCAAACGATAACTTCCTCAATGATGGCACCATGGATGACTATTCGCCTTCTCCAAGTTTCGAAGTCATCGAAGAAATTCAAGTTAACCATGGCATGTTTGTTTCGACTCGTCAGGTGGCCGAGACATTTTTTCACCAGTTAATGCCTTCACAAACCGTTAAGGTCCATCTAAACCCAGCGTTGGGGCAAAACTTCTTTGTAGAGAGAGTCGATACACAAACAAAATGTGAGAATATAGGCTCTTTCTTTGAGAGTTTCAAGGCTTTTGGGATGGACAAGTTTGTTGGAGTTAGCAAATCCACAAAGCCATGGAGGAAAGTTGCAAGCACTCTTGTTTGTGCAGTTACACTTCTGTTGATGCACATCATTTATTTTGGGCAACATGTGGAAGATGAAAAATTGATGGATGCATTCACCTCAACCACAACTGCTGCTATTGTGGAAGAAAAAGGCAATTCTAATGTTAGCAAGAAGAAGAAAGGACTTGGATTAATTAAGTGGAGCAACAAAGAAGAAAAGGTTTGCTTGGTGAACATAAGAGGTGGGAATAGTTGTAGTGTGCTTCTGAAGAAGATAGGGGTTTTCCTCACTGTTTCTTTGGCTCTTTGTACCATGTGGGCTCTTTGAACTCACCATTTTATTTCGGTTCTAACCATAGTTCGTTTGTTTGGGAGAGGGGGATAATTCAGCCTAACCCATAGCTACACTTTACTTAAATATATCTTTACAATTAATTGTATTTTATATATTGACACAAAGTCATGTAATATTGGATATTGATTTATACTAATAGAGATTTCTTTGCTTCTTATTATTATTTATTTTTTCATATGTATACATGTGTGGTAACTATATTTCAAGCCTATTTGGGAGTGCTTCTGGAAGAGCCAAAAGAGCTTACTGACACCCAAAAACGCTTTTGACGACATTTGACAGAAAAATTTAGAAGTGTTTCTAGGTTGTAAAAGTACTAGAAAAAGCACTTGGATTTCTAATGAAAATTCTAACATTTTTATAATAAAAACACTTTTGTCATCAACGCTTAAAAGCATTCCCAAACGATATCATTCGAAGCCACTTGTCAACAACATATTTATCACTTTAAGTTACAAGAGAGGTCATATCTTTATATTGCAATTTATCAAATTAGGTAACATAGCATTTGTCATACTCCTAAGAGCTCCTACCTTTATCTTGTAAGGGCTTACTTGTAATAAGCGTGGCAAGAAGTAACAGAGCTCATATCTTTATATTGTGATATATCAAACTGGGTAATAACATATCTGTCACATATACTCCTAGGAGCTCCTGCATGTCTTTACTTTGTAAGGGTAAGTAGAAGACCAGCGAGGATTCTTAACACCTTCACGGGATCATAACGTGGGGATTGAGGGCTTACATGTGACCCTTTTGTTTTTGGCCGCAGAGGTCACAGAGTTATATATTCTTTTTCTACTTTTCTTTTGTCAGGGTTATTTTAATGCAGCTCAAGCATATGTTTAACTGATCTGGTTGTGTTGGAGCCGCCATAATGTGCAATAAAACCTCTCTCTCTCTCTCTCTCTCTCTCTCTCTCTCTCTGTCTCGGTTGTAGCATCCAAAAGTGTAGCTGAAACCTATGAAGACCACCGACAGCCCCATTACTTACCAGTGAAATGAGGTTGTTAAATTTGCTGAACACTGAAAGACATTTGAGCATCGACCCAAAACATAGGGCATGTAAGCATTGGGAGTATAAACATTTTGTTGGGTTGCTAGAGCACATGAAAATTTTCACTGTTGGAGATAGTGGAGGGTTGTGGTATATATATTGGTGCAGAGAGCACATGTCATGTATAATCATGGTAGAAGAGATAAAAAGGTTAGGAAGTTCAGAGAGCATGCAGCAAAGTGATGAAAAGAAGATGACAAATATGGAAGGCAATATGGGTTCACGGGTCACTAACTATTGTCTCAATTATCAGTTGGTCCTGCACATCCTGCCAACTCACACTCACGACCCAATTCAAGTAATTTATTTGACACCACCTCCAACTAAGAATCTCATCCCATGACTCTCTCTCAACCAAATTGTGGTGGGGGCAATTGAGTGGCCAGCTGATCATGTGTGCTCCACTTCAGTTGATGATGTCATCATCACTACCCTAGTTCCTTGAATTCTACCGTATTGTCGCCAATTTAACTACTTAACTTATCTCAATGTGATTACATCTATAAATCCATTATTCTGGGGTTTTGTTTTATCTCAAAACAACTCGATATAATTTAAGAATAACTACTACTTCACTATGTTCAATCTCTTTCTGATGTGAGACAACTGAATTTGATTCACAATTCCTAATAGGGCTAGTGATAGCCTTCTACACTTGTGAATTGCGCTAATTATTTTAGTTGTTCTTACACGTGTGGATAACTGTCAGTCGTTAATGAAAAAAAAATTACAGTTAAGTAATGTTTGTTGTTACTAATCTCAAATATGATCAATAGATGGAATGGAAATCATTCACGTAGGTCCCACATGAAATCAGAAAATGACATTCTTGAAAATCAGGAATGGGATTCTAAATTACTGTCGTACTTTTTTCAGGGATAGTTTATCATGCTCTAAGAGAATGATAGCTAGCATATCCACCTCGCAAGGGCTATAGAGAACTAGTTTTTAGGAGGGGCACCAAGTTTTTGTTTCATTTGGCATGGGTTTATCTTCTTCTTATTGTTTCACCAGTTGGGTGAAAAGCTTTGTCTTCTTCTTCACTGTGGTCTGGCTCTTCTTTGGCTATGGTCGCCATGGAAGTGTAAATGCGGCAACAACTACCGTCAAAGTGAACAGCAGCACTGCAAAGGTGGAAGACGCGGTTAGTTTCCATATATATTATGGACAGACTTTCAAAGTCATCAAAAATGCCATTGACGGCAAGAGCTACCTTCTCATCCAGGTACTTCTTCTTCCTACATAATCCTAGCTAGTAGAGGAAGCTGGTTACCACTCTCCATGACTTTTTTTTTCTCTCACTGTTTTTGGGATGTAAAAAAAACAATAGAACAATTCAAGGATGGCAGCAAGGGCAAAATATTGCACCTCAAGGATCAAATCTTTTGTTATCCCATTATCAAACTATTCAATCGATGCCGATTATAATTTTCCAGGTATTGGTTACTAACTCTCCATGACACCCTTTATATATTATTTTCTGATTTATGATCTTTTGTGTTTATTTCTAAAAAATTCTTGTAAAATTGCAGTTTCCTTTTTCGAGGTGAGGATCGCCATGCTCCATAACTTGTAATTCTCATAATTTAATATGAATCTGTCTTTCCTTCTCCTTAATTTTCTAACTTTAATTGTGTTTTGAGTATATCTTAAGTACGTGATCATGGCACCATCTTCACATATATAAGGATTTTATGTCAATTTTCTTTTTTGCTGTATTTTGTTATATATGCAGCTCCTGGGATTACTTGGGAGCTTGAAGGGCATTACATCAGACTCCGTGGCTTCTCAATGTCTGATGAAATTGTATGAAGCTGGGGAAATTGAGGTGATTGACAAAAGTCAGCCACAACAACTAGCAAATTTTGCAGCACATTTTATTACCTACACTGACCAACCACAAGCTTGCAATTTTGCCTCTTTTGTTCCTTATGGAGAGGATAACCCTTTGCAGGTAACCAAATGATGTACACAATTTTTCCTGAAAAGGTGAAGTTATTCTTATTAGCAACCCCTAGCTATATCTTAGTCTATAAGTTCAAAATTCCTCCTTGTGTATATATAGAGAGAGCTTTAGTTGAGAGATCCGTCAAACACTTAATTGAGGGATACTCTTGTAGGGCCCATCAAACATTGTATTTCAATGATCTGAACCGTCTAGAGTTTGAATAATTTGTTTGTTAATATATGGTAATCACTAGCTACCCACTTTGATTTTTATGCTTCATTTTGGCCAAGAAAAAAACACAAGGTTAAATACTAAATCTGATTCATTCCTATATTTTGATAGAGAGCAGAGTGGATCAAGTTCTTGGGAGTGTTCGCAAACGTTGAGAGCAGAGCAAATCAAGTATATGATGCAGTAAGTATGAGACAACTAAGAAAAATTAAATAAAATATTGAAAACAGAGCAAGTATGAAACGGTTGTTGCACTAATATTCATATTTTATTATGCAGGTTAGACAGAGTTATCAATGTTTGACCAACCTTACGAAAGGCAGGACTTCATTCAAACCAACAGTTGCATGGATTCAGTACGAAAATGTTGGTCAAAAAAACTTTAGCACGAGAGGGTTATTACATCAAATAGGGAATTTTCATAATTGCATAATAATTGAATTTTAAATGAGAAGGGTAATTGTGTTTATGAGACAGTCAAGCTGTGGTAAATTCACTCAATTGGTCCAAAATAATAATAATTCACCAGTAAATCCACAATAATTACTTCATATATATGACTTACTAGTTAATTGGATTTCCTTTTTCAGGGTATATGGTCTTTTACAAAGGAAACATACAAGTTGAAGGTAAGCACAAGATATCAGTAATTTCTGTAATTTTCCTGTCAATTATCATTTTTGTGAATATGTAGGAAGACCTTAAAGGAACTTTTTAATTAGCTAAATTTTGTTAGGGTTATTTGCATTTTACCCTTCCTAAGTTTACCAACTTTGGCGCATTTAGATCTTAATTTTAAAAAATTATAATGTCAAACCCGACGTATGAATTTGGCACAATATTAACCCTCCTCTATCTAACAATCCGATACTCAATTTTCACAGATTGTTAGACGGAGGCTTGATATGACCTAAATTTAGCTTTTGGAGTAGTAAAATGCAATTAAACCTATTTTTAATTTCTTAACTAGAAGTTTAATTTTAACCGACATTTGCTCTTTAAACTTGGAACTTGCAGTATGTGGAAGACGCAGGTGGTGAGAATGTGGATGATTCTATCAACAAGATTTCCTACAACATCTCTAGTCCGGACGATTTGGATCAACTGCATGCCATCCTATGTGTGAGTTGAAACACATATATATATATGCATATAAATAAATTATGTAGCTTGATTACGAGATTAATGTTAATTTTCTTTGTTCATATAGACCGTGGATGTGGTGATTGACGAAACATACACCTCAGATGCAGTTAATTACAATTCATCAACGTTTCTCCAAAATATAAATGTGGAAGATCATTCTTGTTTTGTTTTTCTCTCTAACCAAAGCTTGTGGAGATACGATAAAAGAATTCAAAACTCAACTGCTCTTGGTAAGTGTTGCATCTCACTACATTTTCTTTTTCCTTTGTTTTTACTTTTTTTTTAATACAAGCGATAGTCTAAACTATAAAAGAATGGGGGGTTTCTCACACACACATTGCTAAGGTGGGTTCGAACCTGAGACCACTGATATGCAAGTCAAAACCCATTTCTACCGGACTAGACCACTTTCGCTAATGTTGTTTTTTTTTTTAATGAATTGAAATAGAATTAAAATTTAGTCTTAGGCAATCAAAATACAGTTGCTTTACATTTTACTTGGTTATTATTTTGTACTGGAAAATTGTGCGTAATTGTGTGTAATTGTCATCTCTCTCTCTCTCTCTCTCTCTCTCTCTCTCTCTCTCTCTCTCTCTCTCTCTCTCTCCTTTTGTGCATTTTTCATGTGAAGACTGGTATAATGGAGCAGTCTCCCAGCCACAACTGGTTTT